TATATTAATTTCACCTTTTAAGTTGCATTACTGAACTAAATGAACTTTTGCACGATATTCTATTTTTTTGAGTTTCACCTGTAATTAAGATTAACAGAGTTGGAAGGGACCTTGCAGGTCATCTAGTCCAATCCCCTGTCCAAGCAGGAGACTCTACCTCTACCTAGGATTGAACTCACAACCTCCTGATTGTGAGGCAAGAGCTCCACCTCTAGGCAACTGCCGTCTTATGATGATGAAATCCTTCCATTCCCCACCAACCACTCAGAGCTGAAGAAACTACTTGGATGAGAAGTGAAATGTCTTCAAAGAAAACCCAGAAAGTCCAGTTGCCTCTTGAAAAAGCACCTTTGGGACAACCATGAGCTGGGTTCTCCATGGACAATGGATCCCCTTGTTAGTTCTGCAGTTCAAGTTTGCTATGCTTTGTCTGAATGCATTTTAGCAGTTCTCATTATTCTCCAATGTAATAAAAGTAGGCGAATGATAAAATCTGCATCATTACATTATGTTGCAAAATCCACAACATCATCTATTTATCTCAGATGTCACAGTGTAACAAACTTAGGATCACGTTGAAAATATGCTGGCATTCTGATATAATCTGCAGACGCTTTTGTTTTGAGATGCAATTCATCTCATTTCATCATCCAGGAAATTCAGACCATGGTCCTATGAACGAAATCTTTCCTATCAATGTAATTTGCTATGTTCTTTTTTCCATTTTCCCCTTCCTCAAAGAACTTTATGAGAACATTATATAATATATATGGTGCTCAAAATACCTTATTTATTTTTCTTGGGGAAAAAGAGCAATAGGTCTTTTTTGAAACATCACTAGAAGCAAGGACATTTTTTTAAAAAAAAGTTTTTTATTTTTTCATTTTCATAACAAATAACCACATGTATTACACAAACAACATTATATTAAATGTTAAATGTTTATATCAATTCGTCTCACCATCAACCCCCCAAAATGATTATTGGCTCTTCTGCTCTCCATATACTGTATTTATATCCTATCTATCACTCTCTTCTCCCTCTCTCCTCCTCCTCCCTACTTCCTTTCTTCCCTCTGTCGTCCTTCTCTTCTCTACTTCCCCTTCTTCTCTCCTTCTCCTCTCTCCCCTTTCCACTCCTTCTTTCTCCTCCTCTTCCCCTCTTGCCCTCTCTCCTATCCCTCTCTTCTTCCCTTACCTCTTTCCTCTACTCTGTGTTCGTCATCTCATTTAATTGGTGTATTTCAGCCTCAGAGCGAGCCCCATTTTATGTTAATGTTATTTATAATTCCATTTCAATATACATCTTTAATTTTAACATATATCTTCCTCCTCCTTTTTTGAAAGGAAAAAGAAGTATACATATATAGTAGTTATATTTATTTTTTAAAAACCACGAACATATTTTTGGCTGGGATGTAGACCTGGTTATGATTCCCAGCTATTCTCATCATTATATTTATATAGTTATACATCCTTATACGCCCTAAATTTGTAGTTCTGTCTTTATAATCTCAATATTTTCCATTATAAGTATATTTCATGTTTCCCCTCCATTTTTCCATATCTTGACTTAGCTTACCCTTAATTGTCTTTAAATAACAATCCTTACTGTTCAATGTTCATTATAAGTCCATTAATCTACTATGTAGAACAATAAGCGGTATACATCTCACTTTGTTCATCATCTTAAAGAGTTCTATATGTGTCCATATTTCATTCATTCATTCATATAT